CTGTATTTACAATGCTACTCAACCTGTATTTACAATGCTACTCAACCGGTATTTACAATGCTACTCAACCTGTATTTACAATGCCCAGGCCTCTGAGGTTTTAAGATGTTTCTTCCCACCCCCCCCCACCCCACCCCCAGGAAGAGGGTCTCACTCTGTTGCCCAGGTTGGAGTACAGCGGCATGATCGTGTCTCACTGCAGTCTTGACTTCATGGGCTCAAGTAATCCTCCCACCTCAGCCTCCTGAGTAGCTGACACTATAGGCGTGCACCACCACACCCAGCTAATTTTTGTAGAGATGGGGTTTTGCCATGTTACCCAGGTTGGTCTTGACCTCCTGAACTCAAGCAATCTGCCAGCCTCAGCCTCCCAAAATGCTGGGATTACAGGCATGAGCCACCATGCCTGGGCCTTAAGATGTTTCTTTATCCCCTAGAAGTCTGTACGCCCAGGAAAGTCATACCATAAAGTAATGACAGAAGCTATTTATAACCTCAGAGTATATTTGGTTCCCTCCTCAACAAATGATACAAGTCTCATCACTACTACCTACTCAGGCCCTTATCGCCTTCCCCCTCAATTGTAGGAACAGTCTCACCAATCTCATTATGCCTTTGCCCTATTCAAACCTTTCAATAGTTCCTCTTTTCTTCCACCAGCACCTGGGCTAATCCTGTTAACGTGGCATATAAAGCCCTCCACAACAGAGCGCAGGATTCTTCTCCAGTTGTTCACCAAATACTGTGCTCATACCTGCACCTTTTTCTCTAGCCATAGCTAACTAACAACTGAGAGGTCCTGGGATAGAGCAGGCTGTTGACTGCCTCCTGTCTATATCTTTACCTGATGCCTTCCTTAGCAGCCTCATTCTTCACGACACTCCTCCCCTCCCCCATCCCTATTCCCCAGATTTTCTTTCCCTCCTTCATTCAGCCCCCTTAATAGAAAGAGTCCCCTCTTGACAGTGGTTCTCAATGTAAGAGAAGTAGATATGACTCTAATAGGGGGGCATTTGAAGAATACAGAGTGGTTTTGGTTATCACATAACTTGGTGGGCATTACTGTGGAGAAGGGTAACCAGGGAGCTAAATCCTTCATAACGCAGGGGACAGGCCTACAGAACAATGAATGCTTCCACCAGAAATGCCAACAGTGTCCCTGTTGAAAAATAATGCATAACAATATACTGTATAATAATCATTTGTTTATGTGGCTGTCTCCCTACTGCACCGTGAGCTCCTGGAGGACAAAGACCATTTTCCTCCAGTTATACCCCTAGTATTTAGCACAAAGACTGGCAGATAGCAGATACCTGATCAGCATTTGCCAATGAATGAAGGAGGCAGGTTCTAGGCACTACTAGAATATCAACTCCAAGAGAATGGAACTTTATCTGTTTTGCTCACTGTCGTATGTCTAGCACAGGACAGGCACTCAATAAATGATTGCTAAATGAATGTGAAATGAATGGATGTCAGGAAGTGAGCTAGGTGACTCAAACCCAGGTCCTATCGTTGAGGAGTAGAGTCCACAGTGGAAGAGAAAAGACATGTTCATGCACAGCTCTGTAGGAGACTAGCAGGTGCCAGGAGAGTGAGTCAGAGAGATGGTATTGAGGAAGGAGGCCTGGGGAAGGAACAGGTGTTACATGATGGGAGAATAAGGAAAGGGATTGAGCATGAAGTTATCCTGGAGCACAGGGAGAATGTGGATACAAAGCCAGAGCACGAGAATTTCAGGCAAAGGAAAAAGCACCAGCAATGATACTCATTCACTCACTCCCAGCTGAGTATCCCTTATCCAAAATGCTTGGGACCAGAAGTGTTCTGTATTTCAGACTATTTTGGAGTTTTGGATTTGGAATGTTTGCATTCAATACTCACAGGTTGAACATTCCAAACCCAACGAGCATTTCCTTTGGGCATCATGTCAGTGCTCAAAAAGTCAGATTTTGGAGCATTTCAGATTTCAGAGCTGCAATGTTCAACCTATATGTAAATTATGGTTTACTATCATGAACACCCACTAGTGCCAACCAGTAGAATGCAAAGATGAATAACTCCCTATTCTTACGATGCTTGAAGGCCAGTGGTGAGCATTAAGAAGGCATATAAATGATAAGTCAAAGGGAATATAGTTGGAAACGTAGGCTGGGACTAGTTTATGAAGCCCCTTGGGTCCTAATTAATCAAAGGAGTTTTGTTTTTTGTTTGAGATGGGGTCTCACTCTGTCACCCAGGTTGGAGTACAGTGGCGCAATCTCAGCTCACTGCAACCTCCACCTCCCAGCCTCAAGTGATCCTCCCACCTTAGCCTCCCAAGTGGCTGGGATCACAGGCGCACACCACCACACTGGCTGATTTTTTGTACTTTTTTTTTTTTTTTTTTTTGAGATGGAGTCTCACTCTGTTGCTGAGGCTGGAAGGCAGTGGCATGATCTCGGCTCACTGAAACCTCCGCCTCCCAGATTCAAGCGATTCTTCTGCCTCAGCCTCCCCAGTAGCTGGGACTACAGGCATGTGCCACCACCCCCAGCTGATTTTTGTATTTTTAATAGAGATGGGGTTTCACCATATTGGCCAGGCTGGTCTCAAACTCTTGACCTCATGATTCGCCTGTCTTGGTCTCCCAAAGTGTTGGAATTACAGGCATGAGCCACCATGCCCAGCCAATTTTTTGTACTTTTTGTAGAGACAGGATTTCACCATGTTGCTCAGGCTGGTCTTGAACTCCTGAGCTCAAGAGATCCACCTGCCTCGGCCTCCCAAAGTCCTGGGATTGGAGCCGTAAGCCACTGCACCTGGGCCAGTCAAAGGGGTTTAGACTTTAATCCACAGATAATGAACGGTCACTGAAGGTTTCTGAGAAGGGAAGTGACCTGATTCAAGATCAGCTTTGGAAGACTTATGCGGTAAAAATGCATGAAATTAACAGAGAGCGGTCAGGCTAGAGAAAGTCAGGTTAATTAAAAGACCGTTAAGGCACTCACACAAGAGGCAGTGAGGACTTGAATAAAACACAGGGCCAAAAGGATGTGGGGAGAAAGAATTCTGGTGAGTTGCTGTGGGTGATGAATTTGCAAGACCTGGCAAAAGGCTGCATGGGAAAGGGAAAAATTAAAGCTGTCACAAAGGTCTGGAGCTGGAGGAAATAGGAGGCTGGCAAAGGGGAGACTGGAGGAGGATGAGAATTGGAGCCATTCAGTTTGGAACGTACTGTTTATTGGAACTTGAGGTAGCAACAGCATGTCTAGGTGAAGAAATTAAGGAGCACTCAGAAAAGTGGGTATGAAGGTCAAGCCCAAAATAGAAATTTGAGGCCACCTCAACAGTATTTATAATAAATTAATATTATTGCCAGGCTGGGGGCGGTGGCCCACGCCTGTAATCCCAGCACTTTGGGAGGCCGAGGTGGGCAGATCACTCGAGGTCAGGAGTTCGAGACCAGCCTGGCCAACATGGTGAAACCCCGTCTCTATAAAAAATACAAAAACTAGCCAGGCATGGTGGTGTGCACTTGTAATCCCAGCTACTAGGGAGGCTGAGACAGAAGAATCGCTTGAACCCGGGAGGCAGAGGCTGCAGTGAGCCGAGATCATGCCACTGCACTCCAGCCTGGGTGACAGAACGAGACCCTGTCTCAAAAAAAAAAAAAAAAAAAAAAATTTCCAACAGTGGTTACTGTGTAATCGGCACTATAGCAAGTACTTCACATGAATGGGTTTTTTGCAATTTCCCTTTCCACAACCATGTAATGTGGTGCTCTGTTACTAGTTTCATGTTACATTGGAGAACACAGAGGCTCAGAGAGGTGGTTTCCCCACAGCCACATGACTAGGAAGCAGCAGGAAGCAGCAGCGCTGGGATTAGAACTTAAATCTATGCAAACCAGAGGTAGAGTGCTTATCCCCACATCACTTCTCTGGAATAAAAAAGATCACTCGAGTCATAAGTGATTAGTCAAACAGCCAGTGAAGAATGCAAATTTAAAACAAAAGTGTTTACTTGTCTGACACTGATTTCCATTGGTTCTCTCTCAATAATTCCTATATCACTTTTTCAAACTATTTGTCCAAGATTCAAATTGTCAAGATTCCCTAAAAGGCAAGTCCTGTGCCAGGAATCTGCTGTGCATGGCACAGCACTGAGCAGACTAGGAATTAACCAAGAATTTTTTTTTTTTTTTTTTTTTTTTTGAGACAGAGTCTTGCTCTGTCACCCAGGCTGGAGTGCAGTGGCGTGATCTCAGCTCACTGCAAGCTCTGCCTCCCAGGTTCACGCCATCCTCCTGCCTCAGCCTCCCGAGTAGCAGGGACTACAGGCGCCCGCCACCACACCCAGCTAACTTTTTTGTATTTTTAATAGAGACAGGGTTTCACCATGTTAGCCAGGATGGTCTCGATCTCCTGACCTCGTGATCCGCCCACCTCGGCCTCCCAAAGTACTGGGAATACAGGCATGAGCCACCCTGCCTGGCCAGTCATTCTTAAATAAGTTTTCCACAACGAAATCTTGGACATACACTAAATCATTTTATTTCTGTGTTGTTATCCTCTTTAAGGTACTTTTTCTTGCCAAATTTCTTCATTTGTTTGTAATAGCTATTCTGAGTTTTACTCATCAGATGAGCTGTTCCTAACTACTGTAATAGCTCAAATGACTGTTAAGGGTCCAATTGTGTCCCCCCAAAAGACACGTGGAAATCCTAACCCCCGTAACTGTGAATGTGACTGTATTTGGAAATAGGGTCATTGTAGACATAATTAGGTAAAATGAGGTCATGCTGGAGTAGGGTGGGCCCTTAACCCAGTATGATTAATGGCATCCTGACAAGAGACACCAGAGAGACAGACACACGAGAGAACACCATGTGATGGCGGAGGCAGAGACTGAATGAAGTGCTACAGCTGGAAGTCAAGGAACACCAGGGATTGCCAGCAAACCACCAGAAGCAAGAAACAGACAAGGAAGGTTTCTCTCTTACAGGTTTTAGAGGGAGCATGACTCTGCTGACATCCTGATTTTGGATTAGTAGCCTCCAAACTGTGAGTCAATAAATTTTCTGGTTTTATGCCACCAGTTTATGGTACTTTGTGGTACCGCTGCCCCTTGGAATCCACACAGGATTGGTTCCAGAACTCCCCACCACCACCTGCCAATACCAAAATCCACAGATGCTCAACTCCCCTATATAAGATGGTGTCGTATTTACATAAGACCTATGCACCTCCTCCTGTATACTTTAAATCATCTCTGGATTACTTACAATACCTAATACAATATAAATGCCATATAGATAGCTGTTTGAAGGCCAGCCATGGTGGCTCATGCCTGTAATCCCAGCACTTTGGGAGGCTAAGGTGGGAGGATCACATGAGGCTGGAAGTTCAAGACCAGCCTGGGCAACATGGTGAAACTCCATCTCTATTTCTCTATTTTTAATTTTTTTTCTTTTTTTGAGATGAGTCTCACTCTGTCACCCAGGCTGGAGTGCAGTGGCGTAATCTCAGCTCACTACAACCTCCACCTCCTGGGTTCAAGCGGTTCTCGTCCCTCAGCCTCCTAAGTAGCTGGGATTACAGGCGTGCACCAACATGCCTGGCTGATTTTTGTATTTTTTAAAATAGAGACAGGGTTTCACCATGTTGGCCAGGCTGGTCTCAAACTCCTGGCCTCAAATGATCTGCCCACCTCAGCCTCCCAAAGTAGTGGGATTACAGGCGTGAGCCACTGCACCCAGCCCCATCTCTATTTTTTTAAAAAAAACGGTTGTTATACTGTATTGTGTTTTATTTATATTATTTTTCATTGTTTTTTTCCAAACATTTTCAATCCATGGTTGGTTGAATCTGTGGACGTGAAACCTACAGACACAGAGGGCCAACTGTACAGCAATCCTGGGAAATGAATACAGTAATCAATTCCATTCACTCCTACCATAACACAGACTTCTGTGAAACTCTCCTGGGCCGAACCAGAAATAAACACCTTAACGTGGAGCTGTATATGATTAGAAAGTAATAAATATTAAACATAAACACCAAATAGTACTTCAGGCTTTGTCCACAAGGAGGATATTAATAACCCACCATCCATATGACATGAGTTTTCAACTGTTTTTCTAGAAGCAGTAAGCGACATACCTGTACATAGGTTAATAAGCTTTTCCTGCATGGAGACTAGCTGGTTTTATGTAAACAGTGGACAATCTTCAGGCGCATATTTACCTGGAACATTTGCATCTTCACTTCCATGGATGTCTTCCCGACCCAGCTAACATGGCCACTGAACTTAATGTCCTGTTCTGGGCTCAAGCTCTTCTTACACATATCTGCAAAACAGAAGTTAATCGGGGTCCAAATCATACCAAAAATGTTCTGTTCTGTAAATATGCACAATTAGAAATTATGGCTAATTCCACTACATTTCTTTTTTGTCTTCAAAACTAAAATAACTTTTTTGACACGCAGAAGAAATCTACATGTGTTTTTGAAAAACGTAGAAAAAGCAAAGAATATAAAAAACTGGAATCATGCAAAATCCACCTAATTATAACAAATATCTTGGTATATAGCATTCTAGACATTTTCATATGCATATGTACATTAAAATTCCCCATAAAGGGCCAGGTGCGGTGGCTCATGCCTGTAACCCCAGCACTTTGGGAAGCCAAGGCAGGTGGATCACCTGAGGTCAGGAGTTTGAGACCAGCCTGGCCGACATGGTGTAATCCCATCTCTACTAAAAATACAAAAATCAGCTGGGCAAGGTGGCACACGCCTGTAATCCCAGCTACTCGGGAGGCTGAGGCAGGAGAATTGCTTGAACCTGGGAGGCGAAGGTTGCAGTGAGCCAAGATCGTGCCCTTGCACTCCAGCCTGGGTGACAAGAACAAAACTCCATCTCAAAAAGAAAAAAAAAAAATTCCCATAAAAGGAGAGGACTTCCTGTAATCTCAATAATATCTTGCAATTACTAAGAATTCTAAGTATGCATAGAAAATGATATCACTTACCAATCTTATCCACCAGGGCTGTAACTATCGATAAAGGAGACATCTTGGCTGAATGGATTTTGTTGTGCATGTAACAAGTAAGAACTGCAGGAAAACAGGAGTGTACCAAATTTTTAAAAGGCAGAATTATTTCCCAACATTTCAAATTTACTCCCTGAAATCCATTAAAAGTCTTGTCTCCTTTTGAAGACCCAGCCCCCAATATTCCATTGATCATCTTATCCTAGGACCAAACACTTTTATAAATTGAAGGATTTGGGAGATCCTCCAATCTGACTGCCCCCTCAATTTTAAGATTTGGTGAAGAAATCAAAGCCCGAAGCAAGCCCAGACCCACCAGGCAGCTTGTTACTACTCCACAGAGACTCAGTGCCAAAATCAGAATAAGAACTCAGCACATGAGTCTGACAGTATCAAACATCTTCAGGAAAGAGAAACAAATCACAAGGACTTGGCTACCTGTTTTCTCCCTGGCTCTGTTCTAATTAATCATGAAACAATTATTTCACTCAGTTATCCCTCCTTCCCCATAACACCCTTGGCTCCTATGCCACCCTGTGGTTATCTCTATACTTCCCATATTTTAACAAGCATTTATATGTGCCAAGCATGGTTCATGCACCTTACAGATATCAACTCATTTAAAGTTGTATAATTATATGTTGGGCCGGGCGCGGTGGCTCAGCCTGTAATTCCAGCACTTTGGGAGGCGGAGGCAGGTGGATCACGAGGTCAAGAGATCGAGACCATCCTGGCCAACATGGTGAAACCCCGTCTCTACTAAAAATACAAAAATTAGCCGGGCGTGGTGGCGTCCCAGTTACTCAGGAGGCTGAGGCAGGAGAATCACTTGAACCCAGGAGGCAGAGGTTGCAGTGAGCCGAGATTGCACCACTGCACTCCAGCCTGGCAACAGAGTGAGACTGTCTCAAAATTAAAAAAAAAAAAAAAATTGTATAATTATATGTTGATTGGCTCCCTGCTTCCCCTATAATCCATTCAAATTTGTATCACAAACTCTCAGGACAAGATATGTGGCCCAATAAGTATTTGTTGAGAAACTGTAAATCCTTCCATCTATGCACCTACTAAAGGACGCACTGGGGGAATGACAGGCTAAAGGCAATAAACTCCATTTACAAGTCTTTGTCCAGCAAAGAAATCAGATGGCTCCAACCTATGGCAACAGGAGTAGAAATGAAAAGACTATGAGTTAAGAAGAAGGTAAACCTGACAAGACTTGAATCAATTCAGTTTCCTAGCTTGGATAGGTAAGCATGGTGTACTAGTCACTGAAAAAGAGAACACAGACTGGGTACAGTGGCTCATGCCTGTAATCCCAACACTTTGAGAGGCCAAGGCAGGAGGATCACTTGAGCCTAGGAGTTCAAGACCAGCCCAGGCAACACAGCAGAGACTCCATCTCTGCCAAGAACACAAAAGTTAGACAGGTGTGGTGGCACATGCCTGTAGTCCCAACTACTCAGGAGACAGGTGGGAGGATTGCCTGAGCCCAGAAGGTCAAGGCTGTAGTTAGCCATGATCATGCTGCTACACTCCAGCCTGAACAACAGAGTAAGGCTCTGTCTCAAAATAAAAAGAGAATATAGGAAGGAAAGAATGGGCCATTTTCAATGTGTTGAATTTGAAGAGCCTATGGCACATCCAAATGAAGGTATTGGGCAGGGCACAGTTGTTCACACCTGTAATCCTAGGGCTTTGGAAGGCCATAGCAGAAGGATCACGTGAGCCCAGAGTTTGAGACCAGCCTGGGCAACAGAGTGAGACCCCTGTCTCTACAAAAAACTTTACAAATTAAGCCAGGCATGGTGGCTCAAGCCTGTAATCCCAGCACTTTGGACGACAGAGGTAGATGGACCACCTGAGCCCAGAAGTTCCAGACCAGCCCAGGCAACATGGTGAGATCCCGTCTCTACAGTAAAATACAAAAATTAGCCAGGCATGGTGGCATGTGCCTGTGGTCCCAGCTACTTGAGAGGCTGAGATGGGAGGATGCTTGAGCCTGAGATGTGGAGGATACAGTGAGCTGTGATCGCACCACTGGACTCCACCCTGGGTGACAGAGTGAGACCCTATTCCAAAAAAAACCAAAATAAACTAGCCAGGCATGGTGCAGTGTACCTATAGTCCCAGTTACTCAGGAGGCTGAGGCAGAAGGAACACTTGAGCCTACAAGTTCAAGGTTGCAGTAGGCTATGATTTTACCACTGCACTACAGTCTGGGCAACAGAGCGAGACTGTCTCTAAAAAAGAAAAATAAATCTAGTAGCTAAGAGGAAAAACTGATTGAAACTCAGAAAAACAGGCCAGAAAATGTAGCTTCGTAAGTATTCAGCATACTGATAGCAACTGAAACACTGGGAGTAGATGAGTTTATAGAGAATCTGCAATGTCAACCCAAAAAAGGGCAGAAGGGAAGGGTAGAGAAGAGACGGAGGAAAACGTAATATAAATGTAGTTTTTACCACTGATCGATACACTTAAAAATGATAAAGATGGGCCAGGCGCGGTGGCTCACACCTGTAATCCCAGCACTTTGGGAGGCCAAGGTGGGGGGATCACCTGAGGTCACGAGTTTGAGACCAGCCTGGCCAACATGGCAAAACCCCATCTCTACTAAAAATACAAAAATTAGCCAGGCGTTGTGGCAGATGCCTGTAATCCCAGCTACTCGGAGGGCTGAGACAGGAGAATTGCTTGAACTCGAGAGGTGGAGGTTGCAGTGAGCCGAGATGGTGCCACTGCACTCCAGCCTGGGGGGTGACAGAGCGAGACTCTGTCTCAAAAAAATAAAATAAAAAATAAAGATGGTAAATTTTATATTTTAACCTCAACTTAAAAAATAGCGCTGGGCTCAGTGGCTCACGCCTGTAATCCCAACACTTTGGGAGGCCGAAGTGGGAAGATCCCCCTTGAGTCCAGGAGTTTGGGACCAGCCTGGGCAACATGGCAGACCTTGTCTCTACTAAAAATCAAAAAAATTAGCCAGGCATGGTGGTGTGCACCCATAGTCCCAGCCACTCAGGAGGCTAAGGCAGGAGGACTGCTGGAGCCAGGAGGTCGAGGCTACAGTGAGCTGCAGTCACACCACTGCACTCCAGCCTGGGTGACAAAGTGAAACTCTGTCTCAAAAACTAAATAAAAAATTTTAAAAGATTTAACTATTTTCATTGTTAAATTTTAAAATGCCTTAAAATTTAATTAATATGAACAAATTATAAAATTCAAAAGGCCAGGCACGGTGGCTCATGCCTGTAATCCCAGCACTTTGGGAGGCCAAGGCAAGAGGATCACCTGAGGTCAGGAGTTTGAGACCAGCCTGACCAACATGGCGAAACCCCATCTCTACCAAAGATACAAAAAATCAGCTAGGCGTGGTGGTGGATGCCTGTAATCCCAGTTACTTGGGAGGCTGAGGCAGGAGAATCACTTGAACCTGGGAGGTGGAGGATGCAGTGAGCTGAGATTGCGCCATTGCACTCCAGCCTGGGCAACAAGAGCGAAACTCCGGCTCAAAAAAAAATAAACAAAATAAAATAAAATGAATTCAAAAAATAATCATTTTTTGAAAGAGCAGAAGACAAAACCCTGGGGATAACTTACATTTAAGGGATCAACAGAAAAAGAGGAACCTACAAAGGGGACTACAAAAGAGCAGCCAGAGAAGCAGATGGAAATGTCACCAAAGCCCAAGGGTGGGCTGGACGATATAAGAAGCCACAAAGGGGTCAGGTCAACCCTGAAAAGCATCCATTCAATTGTGCAGTAAAGGAGCCAATGGCGAGCTTGGCAAGAGCAGTTTCAATGGCGTGGAGGAGCAGAAACCAGAACACAGCAGACCGGCAAATATTTAATAACAGGAAGTTAGCATACAGAGGCAATGAGAGCAGGTGATTTTTCCCAGTTCTTTTCAGAAAGTGAGCTATGAAGTAAGGAAGAAAGTATGAGGTGTTATAAGAAAAGATTTTTTACCTTTTTTTTTTTTTTTTTTTTTTTTGAGACAGAGTCTCACTCTGTCACCCAGGCTGGAGTGCAGTGGTGCACTCAGTTCACTGCAGCCTCTACCTCCCGGGTTCAAGCCATTCTCCTGCCTCAACCTCCTGAGTAGCTGGGACTACAGGCACACGCCACTATACCCGGCTAATTTTTGTGTTTTTGAGACAGAGTCTCGCTCTCTTGTCCAGGCTGAAGTACAGTGGCACAATCTCAGCTCACTGCAACCTCCGCGTCCCCGGTTCAAGCAGTTCTCGTGCCTCAGCCTCCCGAGTAGCTGGGATTACAGGCATGCACCACCATGCCCGGCTACTTTTTGTAGTTTTAGTAGAGATGTGGTTTCACCATGTTGGCCAGGCTGGTCTCGAACTCCTGGCCTCAAGTGATCCACCCGCCTCGGCCTCCCAAAGTGCTGGGATTACAGGCGTGAGCCACCCTGACCGGCCTATTTTTCATTTTAAGATGGAAGAAGCTTGAATATGTTTATAACTTGAGGGAAAAGTGAAGTTGAGAAAAGGCTCAGGAAATGATGGAGGAAGCTAAGTGATAAGGCAGTTCCTTGAAGAAATAGAAGGAATAGAATCAAGTGAACAGGTTAAAGAAACTGGCCAGGCCGGGTGCAGTGGCTCACGCCTGCAATTCCAGCACTTTGGAAGGCCAAGGCGGGCGGATCACGAGGTCAGGAGATCAAGACCATGGTGAAACCCCGTCTCTACTAAAAATACAAAAAATTAGCTGGGGGCGGTGGCAGGCGCCTGTAGTCCCAGCTACTCAGGAGGCTGAGGCAGGAGAATGGTGTGAACCCGGGAGGCGGAGCTTGCAGTGAGCCACAATCGCGCCACTGCACTCCAGCCTGGGGGACAGAGCGAGACTCCGTCTCAAAAAAAAAAAAAAAAAGAGACTGGCCATCAATAGCAGTTAATGAGCAAGAAAGAGGGTAGTGGTGGCAGGGGAGTTTGTGTATATATGGACACCTAAGCAGACCAAAGTCAACCAGGATGTAGTGCAGTGGTGTCACCACAGCTCACTGCAGCCTCAACTTCCTGGGCTGAAGCAACCCTCCCGCCTCAGTCTCCTGAGTAGCTGGAACTACTAGTGCATGCCACCACACTCAGCTACTTTTTTGGTTTTTGTACAGATGGGGACTCACTGTTTCCCAGGCTGGTCTCAAAGTCTTGGCCTCAAGCGATCCTCCTGCCTCGATCTCCCAAAGTGCAAGGATTATAGGTGTGAGCCACTGTGCCCAGCCATGAATTTTTAACTGGGTTCATTTAATCTAGAGAAAAGTAGTTGCTAGGTGTAAGCTTAACAACAAGCTTATATCTATATTTTAAAAGTCAGAGCCGGGCGTGGCGGCTCACAGCTGCAATTCCAGCACTTTGGGAGGCTGAGGCGTGCGGATCACCTGAGGTCAGGAGTTCAAGACCAGACTGACCAACATGGTGAAACCCTGTCTCTACTAAAAATATAAAAATTAGCCAGATGTGATGGCGGGCACCTGTAATCCCAGCTATTCAGGAGGCTGAGGCAGGAGAATCACTTGAACCCAGGAGGCGGAGGTTGCAGTGAGCCAAGATTGGACCACTGCACTCCAGGCTGGGCAACAAGTGTGAGACTCTGTTTCAAAAAAAAAAAAAAAAAAAGAAAAAGAAAAAAAAAAGGCCAGGCGCGGTGGCTCACACCTGTAATCCCAGAACTTTGGGAGGCTGAGGAAAGAGGATCTTTTGAACCCAGGAGTTCAAGAAAAACCTGGGCAACACAGGGAGACCCCATCTCTATTAAAAAAACAGTTTAATAGTTTTTTAAAAATATATTAGAACCTTTCTTCAGACCCTTTCCCAACCACTCAGCCCAAATATCATTAGGTGGGAGCAAGTAAGGTAGCCTAGAGTAGGGGGCTGGCATCTGAGCAGGGTGAGGAAGACATCCTTGCAGAGGGGCTGCAAGAGTGATGGCAGAGCGTGTCACAGCTTGAGCACAGTGAAGAGGGTGAGCCTGCAGAGGGGGACCCGGTGTGGAGTACCAGAGCCCAGGTGAGGTGAGGGGAGCATCCGTGATGCATGAGGGGTGGCAGCCATAGGAAACTGGTCACATACAGGGGAACTGATTAAATAAGTCAATATATGAAGGAGAATGGAGCCAGTTGGAGAAGGGAATACAAATATGGAAAGGAAGGAAATGAGAATGAACCCCGTGGTGGCTGAACTGGAATTGGAGCTATCAGTGCAATCCCATGGTTTTCGTACATACATCTGTACAAAGATTTAGAAATAACATATATGTATGTATATGCACATGTATTTCCCAGCTCCTCCGCTAAGAGGGTATGGGAGCAGTGATATCCAGGAGCAATGACCACTCCCAATGCACGTATCTCCATTTCAAAATATCATTCTCCATTTCAAAATATCATCCTCCACTTCAAAATATCATTCTCCATTTCAAAAAAAGGGCTCCTTGGAGATGTGGGTGATTCTAGGACTGGGGCAGTGAAAAGTACAAGATGAGCCTAGAATATCTTATTGTGCCAGAAAGTGAGAAAGTGCTCAAAGAATAATGGGGACGCATCAAAGAAAACCACGCAGAAGCTAGCCTGAAGGGACTGGGACACTCCTGGGACCATTTGAGCATCAAATAGATGATAGTAACATATTATAGTCCATTCAATAACATAGGAATTCCTGAGTCCATACTGATTTAAAACTAATGAATTGAAAGTCTGATGAAGGTCTCAAAGTTACCTGCCCCCTCCCCTACATAAGGTACTTATTAATTACGAAGGGGAAAAGAGTAACTTTACAATGAAGAAGAGTGGCAGACATCATCACCATCCAGTAAGCAAAGCTGATATCATCAGTAACGAGAAATCAAAACCATGTACCACTTGATAGGATGCAATAAGAACACAGAATCCCTTCTGTGACATTCCTGCCAGAGATGCATATCCCAAAGCTAATCATGAGGAAGCATCACACAGACCCAAATTGAGGGACAATACACAAAAGAACCATGTCAAAGTCACAAAAGTCAAAGAAAGATTAAGGAACTAGTCCTGACATGACAATTAAATCAACATATGATTCAGAACTGGATCCTTCTGCTATGAAGGACCACTGGCAAAAGTTGAATGGGACCTGAGGATTAGATAGTATGACACATCAGTGTTAATTTCCTGATTTTTTATGACTGTTTGTAGTCATGTAGAAGAATGTCCTTGTTTGTAGGAAAGACATATTCAAATATTTGGGGGTGATGTGGCATCATGTCAGTGACTTATTCTCACATAATTCAGGGACAAAGAAATTTTTTTTTTTTTTTGAGTCGGAGTCTCACTCTGTCGCCCAGGCTACAGTGCAGTGGCATGATCTCAGCTCACTGCAACCTCCACCTCCCAGGTTCAAGTGATTCTCCTGCCTCAGCCTCCCAAGTAGCTGGGACTACAGGCACATGCCACCACGCCCGGCTAATTTTTTGTATTTTTAGTACAGACAGGATTTCACCATGTTAGCCAGGATGGTCTCAATCTCCTGACCTCGTGATCTGCCCACCTCAGCCTCCCAAAGTGCTGGGATTACAGGCGTGAGCCACCGTGCCTGGCCACAGAAAAATTCTTTATACTGTATTTGCAACTTTTCTGTAAGTTTAAGACTTTTTTTTTAAGTTACTAGTAAGAAAGATTATTATTATTATACCTCCATTAAATAGGAATCTACATTTTTTTGGAGACGGAGTTTCACTCTTGTTACCCAGGCTGGAGTGCAATGGCACGATCTCGGCTCATCGCAACCTCTGCCTCCCAGGTTCAAGTGATTCTCTTGCCTCAGCCTCCCAAGTAGTTGGGATTATGGCGCCCGCCACCACAACTGGCTAATTTTGTATTTTTAGTAGAGATGGGGTTTATCCATGTTGGTCAGGCTGGTCTTGAACTCCCAACCTCAAGTGATCCGCCCGCCTCAGCCTCCCAAAGTGCTGGGATTACAGGCATGAACCACCACACCCGGCCGATGTCCTTCTTTTTTTGTGCACTTTAGAATATCACCATCTGTGCAGGTTAAAGAATAAAAGAGCCCTTTCCAGTCACAGAATTCAATGTATGTCTGTAGGTATCTATTAGAAAGACTAAAATAATACCAGTACCTCCCAAGCTGTCAAGATCCTCAAGAATCCTGCCAAATCTGTGAAATAAAGCAAATGGTGAATTAAATGCAAATCATGTTGGTCTCCTTTTAAAAATAAATAACACACTTCAGGGTGATGAAAATGTTCCAAAATCGATTATAGTGATGGATGCACAACTCTCTAAATGTATTCAAACCATAGAATTGTACACTTTAAATAAGTGAATTGTATGGTGTGTGAATTGTATTTCAACATTGCTATAAAACAAGGAAATAAAAACAAATACATAAAAATAGCACTGTGTTACCTTACGGTGTTTTGAACAGTCAAATATTTCTCTCGTAATTCAGGCTCACTGCCCAAAGGCAAGAGAACTTCAATGTAACTGTCCTTCATTCTCCTAGGAGGCAGTTCATCCTGTGATTTAGCCAAGAAACTATGAAGTAACTTCCTTTCTTCCATTGCCTTCACATGGTCTCTGAGAAGAAAGGATGCAAGATTCATAAAACAAGAGCAGTGCTAGCCCACAATTCCAGTGGTATACAGGCCAGTAAGATACCATCAAAGGAGGAAAAAGAAGGTCTGGGCCTACTTTCACCTTCTCTTCCTTTCCTCCCTTCCCACCCACCACTTGGTGAAATCGATCATTTCCGGTATCATTTCTCAAGCTTAAAAACATACTTAGGCCGGGCACGGTGGCTCACGCCTGTAATCCCAGCACTTTGGGAGGCCAAGGCGGGCAGATCACGAGGTCAGGAGATCGAGACCATCCTGGCTAACACGGTGAAACCCTGTCTCTACTAAAAAATACAAAAAAATTAGCTGGGCGTGGTGGCGGGCACCTGTAGTCCCGGCTACTCGGGAGGCTGAGGCAGGAGAATGGCGTGAACCCGGGAGTCGGAGCTTGCAGTGAGCCAAGACTGTGCCACTGCACTCCAGCCTGGGTGACAGAGCAAGACTCTGTCTCAAAAAAAAAAAAAAAGAAAAACATACTTAAGGCCAGGTGCGGTGGCTCATGCCTGTAATCCCAGCACTTTGGGAGGCCGAGAGAGGTGGATCACCTGAGGTCAGGGGTTCGAGACCAGCCCGGCCAACATGGCAAAACTCCATCTCTACTAAAAATACAAAAAATTAGCCAGGCATGGTGGTGGGCACCTGTAATCCCAGCTACTTGGGAGGCTGAGGCAGGAGAATTGCTTGAACGTGGGAGGCACAGGTTGCAGTGAGCCAAGATCACAACACTGCACTCCAGCCTGGGCAACAGAGCAAGACGGTCTCAAAAAAAAAAAACAAAAACAAACAAACAAAAAACATAAAACAAAACTTAAAAGTGATATAGATATACCCAAATGAGCCATATATTCACCCTTATCAAAAAGTTTACTCAAAGACTAGAATATTTGAAATTAAATTAAAAATTCAGAGAGATGGACACAATAGTATATATAAAAATATATACGCTAAAGAATGGGTTGGCCACTCTACTTTATATTCCCATTTCTCACCTGACAGTTCTCGGATTCTTTGAGCCCCAGTTCTCTCTCTCTCTCTGCCTTCAATTTCAGGAAAGAGAGACAGAGGAGGGAAAATGGACTATATCCAAAGGAAGTATGGAAGGCAGAACAAAAGGTAAAGAAGAACAGAACATGAAAAGGGACAGAAAGGGAAGAAAAAGAAGAGAAGATTAAGGTGGAAGAGAAAAGAGAGACAAGGGGATACGGAACGACAATGTTGATAAGAACATTAGCTAAGATGTCTTTCTAAGCTTAACTTATAAAGTATTATTTCCAGAAATGTTTACCCTTCAAAAAATACAGGAGACAGAGGAATGAGTTAAATGACACCAGTAAATCCAGAATGTGGAACATTCTCAAGACAAATGGCTTGGCCTCCTTAAAGTCAAGCTCATGGGGGAAGAATGGGGGAAGGATGACTGTCCATTACTCTAGATTAGGGGAGACTAATGAGTCATAACCACCAGATGCAATATGCAATCCTTTATTGGATCTTGATGTTTTTTAAACAGCTATAAAAACATTTTTGTTAAAAGGAGTAATCTATTTTTTAAAAAATGGTAACAGTTAAGGAAATGTGACTATGGATGAGTAATATACCAGCAAGGAATTGCTGTCAATTTGATTACATGAGAGAATGTCTTATTTGCTGGAGATAAGCAAAGGCTGGTTTATAAAATATTTACTGGAGATACACGCTGAAGTGTTGTGGTATCTATAATTTATTTAGAAATGGTTCAGGCATATGTGTATATTGGGAAATTTGGCAAAATGTTAATAAGTATCAAATCCAGGTGGTGGGTACACAGGTATTCATTCTTTCTACCTTTTAGTAAATTGAAATTTTTCATATAAAGAATTTAAAAATAAGTCATTAATTTCTATACCAACGATAGATTAGTATATATCTAGTGATCACTCGTGTTTTTTCTATCTCATTTTAGCCTCAAAATTCTGTAAACCAAGAGGGATATGATCCTGTTTTACAACAAGGAAATATTGTGAGAAAGATAAAGACAATATGGGAGGCCTAATTCTGAACTGACAAGAAGCAATAAAGGATTCAAGTTGCATGAAACAGAGAAACTAAGAGACTTGGGTTCAAGCCCCAAACCCTGATATTTAATCATTCAATCTCTGAGTTTCAGTTTTGTGTGTAAAAAAGGAACAGGAACATATGTCATCAGCACGTCACAAGTTTTGTTATGAGAATCAGTGAGGTAATATACCTAAATGCACTTTGAAAATGCAGAATATATGTAAATCACCTTCTTTCATGACAATGAGGTGTCATCTGATGAGCATGTTGAAATGTTGACCTTCTCCCCCAAGCAAAATACTTCTCAACCTATCTCTGAACACAGGGCTCCCCATCCCCACTGCGAGACCATCAACTGAGCCTACATACAGCCTAGTATAATACGTTGGGGATGAAAAGAACGAATGAAAACAAAGATGCATACCTCCAGTTTGTGGATGCTCCTACTATCTCCCGCAACTTATCTCGAACTGAAACAAAAATAAAGAGGTCATTCCATGAAACAAAGAAATATGAGAAACGGATTATGGCAATGAGCTCAAGAACTATGAAAAGCAATTCATGCACTCAAAAGATTTAAAGATCCATAGATTTCCATTTAATGCCACAACAAACAGCTCAGGGACAGGATCAAGCCTCTGCTCCCTAAAAACCTGAAAGAACTATACTGTCTCTTTAGTGCACAAATGAATACCTTTATGCCAATCACAGGGTTTATATAAACAAACAGAAAAGGATAATTTCAACTATTCATTTAATGGGGCTATATCAGTGTTAGCCAATAAGAACCATTATGATGGAGATATGAACAGGATTCCCACCTATCTTCTTTTTTGTTGTTGTTTTTTTTTTTTTTTTTTTTTGAGACAGAGTCTCGCTCTGTCACTCAGGCTGGAGTTCAGTGGCATAATCTCGGCTCACTGCAACCTCCACCTCCCGGGTTCAGGCGAGTCTCCTGCCTCAGTCACCCCAGTAGCTGGGATTACAGGTGCTGTGCCACCACACCCAGCTAATTTTTGTAGTTTTGTTTTGTTTGAGACGGAGTTTCACTCTTGTTGCCCAGCCTGGAGTGCAATAGCATGATCTCAGCTCACTGCAACCTCTGCCTCCTGGGTTCAAGTGATTCTCCTGCCTCAGCCTCCCAATTAGCTGGGATTACAGGCAGGCACCACCATGCCCAGCTAATTTTGTATTTTTAGTAGAGACGGCGTTTCACTATGTTGGTCAGGCTGGTCTTGAACTCCTGACTTCAGGTGATCCACCTGCCTTGGCCTCCCAAAGTGCTGGGATTACAGGTGTGAGCCACCGTGCCTGGCCCCCATCTATCTTCTTATACGCAGTATTAGATCAAATTACTTAGTTCAGAGACTAATACTAATATCCAAATCTGAGTCTCATTATAATTAATTTCTCATATATTTACAGTCTCCTAGTTGTTAGAAAAGTTTAAGCCAGAAAAACGAAGCAAAGACTTACATCAAGCTAAGGCAAAGAATGCAATTTTAGTTAATGCCATTGCCCAAAAGTGCAAGCGTATATTAGTGCTTACAAAATTTAAGCTCTTAAAAGAAAAGCTGATACTAATTACCACACACACCATGATTCACATGTATAGGTGAACATGCTATATGAATAAAGGGAAAATCAATTAGAGAACCAGCAATAATTGGAAACTAAAAGATAAATCTATAGTATTTCAAATACTGTGTTGAGTTCATGTGTTTTTCCTAGCACTTCAAAATACATATTCCAGTTATAGGAAATTAACTATAGCAATCCTCAGTCCTTCAATAACTAAGTGATCAAAACCAAATATGATTAATATTAACATGCATTTTAACTTTCATGAAAAAATGGTTGATTTTTCTATCAAACAATTATGGATACACCATAAGTTTGGTGTACAATTACAATTAAATGTTACAGAACTGCAAACAACAACCATTAGTAATTTAGTCTTATTTCTGATTTTTTCCTCCTAAGTGCCTTGAATAAAAGGATGGACAGGGCCGAAGCGGGTGAATCATGAGGTCAGGAGTTCAAGACCAGCCTGGCCAAGATGGTGAAACCCTGACTCTACTAAAAATACAAAAATTAGCCTGACGTGGTGGGCACCTGTAATCCCAGCTACTCGGGAGGCTAAGGCAGAGAACTGCTTGAACCTGGGAGGTGGAGGCTGCAGTGAGCCAAGATGACGCCACTGCACTCCAGCCTGGGCGACAGAGTGAGACTTCATCTCAAAAAAAAAAAAAAAAAAAAAAAAAAAAGAACAGGCCAGGCACGGTGGCTCACACCTGATATCCCAGTATCCCAGCACTTTGGGAAGCCAAGACAGGCAGATCACTTGAGGCCAGGAGTTTGAGACCAGCCTGGCCAACATGGCGAAATTCCGTCTCTCCTAAAAAATACAAAAATTAGTTGGGCGTGGTGTAGCATGCCTGTAATCCCAGCTACTCGGGAGGCTGAGGCAAGAGAATCGCTTGAATCTGGGAGACAGAGGTTGCAGTGAGCCGAGATCCTGCCACTGTACTCCAGCCTGGGTGACAGAGCAAGACTCCATCTCAAAAAAAAAAAAAAAAAAAAAAAGAATGGATAGAAAGTACTTCAAACAGGATATGGACTACTGATGCTCACTGACATAAAATAATTACTGCTAGCTTAGTCAGTGTAAGAAGAGAGGCAAGTACTGAGGGCCAAGAAGGAAAAAATTTAAAATTTTATTTACATATTTATTTATATGCACACATAATATAAATTTATTTGGACCCTTTAAAGAAGCCACAATTTTAATTATAATGAATACTCCTAGTTTAATAAAGACAATCCACAGTTTGCATATCATATTGGTAACTGAAATTAACTTTAATTAAGCATGGACTAACAGGATCCCTCGAACATAACTATGGACTAGGAGTGTTTACTCGGTACAACTAATGGGCCCATCTCTTTTTTCCCATGCCTTCAGAACCTATACACAGGAAGTGGAAATCGCTTAACTAAAAGAGCTCAGTCCTCAAGGCTCCCAGGAACAATAGTTTAAAATCTGAATGTGACTTCTACCTGAAGCTATTAATATTATGCAGCTATCCTGGTCATTTCGTCAATGAAATGTTTATGAAAGATCTACCTTTAATATGCCTCATTTGCTCTAAACTACATTTCTATATACCTTTCAAATAAAAGTAAAACAAGGTTTTTCACCACATAGACATAAAACATAGACACCATGCTTGCCTTCATGAATGTGGAAGATTCCCTGTTTCTTGGGGTTCTGGGGTCCTTGAGTCAGTCCTCTTCCAGGAGTAAGCTGCCCCTTGCCCAAGGCACAAAGCCTATAAAACAAGATAAAACACAGAGTAGGTTCCACGGCTTCTTCCCTGGCAACCTCAAAGACCTACCCTCCTCCCAGAGTATCTGGCCATACCACCCTTAGTATATATTGTCTTGCAGGAGTCTGTAGTTGTTTCACAAGTATATGTATGTTTTCATGAGGCTATTCCATAAATCATTTCTCCCATTAAACATTTCTTGAGAGCAGAGACCAATTAGGTAATTATCTACAAAATAAATAAAAGATGGCAACTAGGTTTAATGGATTTATTATTGGTCTATTTTATTAGTTTCAGAAGTCCATAATCGATTTGGTAAACAACTGAGCAAACTCATTATGAACAATTTATTCTGTTCTTTATTATCGCACCATATCTCCTCAATAAATAAGATAAACCCAATTATAAAGTAAACTTTGAACACTGAATTAGCCCTTTCCAGATGCAAAGAAAGTGTTTATTTAACTTATGCAGAAATTTTCTAGAGTCCCAACACAATAAAATAAAAGCTATCTACTGGCCACGGTGGCACAGGCCTGTAATCCCAGCACTTTGGGAGGCTGAGGCAGGTAGACAGGTTGAGCCCAGGAGTTCAAGACCAGCCTCGGCAACATGGCAAAACCCCATCTCTACAAAAAATACAAAAATTAGCCAGGTGTGGTGGCATGCACCTGTGGTCCCAGCTACTCAAGAGGCTCAGGTGGGAGGATCACTTGAACCCAGGAGGTTGCGGCTGCAGTGAGCCAAGATTGCACCACTGCACTCCAGCCTAGGCAACAAAGTGAGACCCTACTTCAAAAAAACAAAAAATAAAAGCTGTCTAACGAAATGTGCCTAACCTACTCTCCCAAAATAAGTTGATTTTGGTTCATTATTGCTAATCACACAATATTATGTCAGGGGTAGCACACAGGCAACATCACAGATTAATAAACGGATCTGTGAGAACACAGTTGAAGAGGGCAAGGCACTGAATAGGTCAAGAGCCCTGCAGGCCAGGCGTGGTAGCTCACGCCTGTAATCCCAGTACTTTGGGAGGCCAAGGTAGGCAGATCACTTGAGGTCAGGAGTTCGAGACCAGCCTGGCCAACATGGTGAAACCCTGTTTATACTAAAAATCCAAAAATTAGCTGGGCATGGTGGCAGGTACCTGTAATCCCAGCTACTTGTAAGGCTGAGGCAGGAGAATCGCTTGAACCCAGGAGACGGAGGTTGTAGTGAGCCGAGAACATGCCACTACACTCCAGCCTGGGCGACAGAGTGAGACCCTGTCTCAAAAAAAAAAAAAAAAAAAAAAACCAGAACCCCAGATACTGTCACTCATTCTAGTTCAATTTACTAGTAAATTCTCACTACCTAATGTGGGAATAAGCAATGACTAACAACAAAAAAAGAGATACTTTTAATTTTCTTTAGAGACCAAGCTACTATAGATTTCTCTTCTGAATGACAGCATTCAGAGAAAGTCTCTCAGTATGTACAGTATTCTGTAAAATCTACATGCAGTTTTGACACTGTGCTGTTAGAAAAAAATCCTTATCCTTTCACCAAGTCAAATCATCTAATTGCACAGAACACAGAAATATGAGTACATGCTCCTTGGCTAACTGAACTTCTTAGTCACCCAGTTATCTTATTTGGCTGCAACACAATCCCTGCTGGTCCACGAAGACCAAAATTCTTGCTGGAGGATTTGGGATTTTGGATCTCTGTTTGTTCTTCAATCACACAGCTAACGAGCCTCTCTCGTATATATTTTAGCTTTACTTTTTCACGAAAAATATTCAATTCCTGTACTTTTGTATGCAGATAATAAATATATTTTTTTCCGACGGAGTCTCGCTCTGTCGCCCAACCTGGAGTGCAGTGGTGCGATCTCGGCTCACTGCAAGCTCTGCCTCCCGGGTTCACACCATTCCTGTAATCCTAACACTTTGGGAGGCCAAGGCGGATGGATCACCTGAGGTCAGAAGTCCGAGACCAGCCTGGCCAACATGGTGAAACCCCATCTCTACTAAAAACATAAGAGTTAGCCAGGCATGGTGGCGCACACCTGTAGTCCCAGCTACTCTGGAGGCTAAGGCAGAATCATTTGAACCCAGGAGGCGGAGGTTGCAGTGAGCTGAAATGGCATCATTGCACTCCAGCCTGAGCAACAGAGCAAGACTCCATCTCAAAAAAAGAAACTAGCATTTTACAACTGAAAATATCTGGTTGTAAAGAACACACTGGAAAAAGTTAATCCTTTCTATTGCTACGATTAGCTGAAAGAGCAAAAAAAAAAAAAAAAAAATGACCCCCAACGCATTAATAGCAACTATAATAGATATGTTAAATGTATCCAATATAAGAAATGGGATCTGATTCTGAATGGCTAAATACCCTGAATACACACCACTAACAGGAGCTATATAACCAGTCTCACATATCTGAATAAATACACATATACACAGAAATTGTTTTGTTACACTAAGAAGCAGCATTTTCTGAAGAGGGATGAAAACCATTCCGTCCTGCTTGTGTGAGAGGCAATACAGTATAGGGGTTAAGAGCCCAAAGGCTGGGCACACTGGCTCACACCTATAATTCCAACACTTTGGGAGGCCAAGGCAGGCGTATCACTTAAGGTCAGGAGTTTGAAACCAACCTGGCCAACATGGTGAAACCCCATCTCTACTAAAAATATGAAAATTAGCTGGGCATGGTGGCGGGCACCTGCAGTACCAGCTACTCAGGAGTCTGAGGCAGGAGAATTGCTTCAACCCAGGAGGTGGAAGCTGCAGTGAGCCGAGATTTTGCCACTGCACAGCAAGACTCTGTCTCAAAAAAAAAAAAAAAAAAAAGAGCCTGATCATGCTGCTTATTAGCTGAGTGACCTTAGACAAGTTACCTAGCCGCCCTGATCCTCAGTTTCCTCATCTGTAAAATGGGGATAATACCACTACCTATCCCATAGGATTGTCAAAAGGATAAAGGAATTAACACATATTAAACCCTGAAGGGCATATCTAGAAGATCATCTCTAATATACTGACAAGTCCTCAAAAAACTCTAGCTATCATTATTCCAGAAAGTCATGCTTCTCCAAAGTCTCCCCTAAAGAGCAAAAAGAACCAGGCTAGGCACAATGGCTCACGCCTGTAATCCCAGCACTTTGAGAGGCCAACATGGGAGGATCACTTGAGACCAGCGTGGGCAACATAGGGAGATCCCGTCTCTACAAAAAAATTTTTAAATATTAGTCAGGCGCAGTGGTGCACACTTGTGGTCATAGCTACTCAGGAGGCTGAGGTGGGAGGATCACTTGAGCCCTGGGGAGATTCAAGGCTGCAGTGAGCCATGATCGCACCACTGCACTCTAGCCTGGGTAAAAGAGCAAGACTCTGTCTCCAAAAAAAAAAAAAAAAAGAAAGATTGCCTAAGCCAGGCACTCTCATGGACCATTGCCAAACACAGAATCAACTGAGGAGAGGAAAGAAGGGAGTTAATGAATACAGAGAAACACTTTGGTCAATTTATTTGGAAAATTGTGGTCCTAGAGCCCCATTGCTTTGCATGCTGCCTTAAGAAACTTGGAAATACATTCCTGTGACACAACAAAGGCATAATTGGAACACTTTCTGAAAAACATTGCTTACACCAATAGCATATTGGTAATAATAAATCTACATCATACTGTCAACATAGTATTCGGAAATATTCGGGTAATGGTAATTTTTTTTTTTTTAGACAGTCTCACTGTCACCCAGGCTGGAGTGCAGTGGCGACATCTTGGCCACCTCCACCTCCCGAGTTCAAGCAATTCTCATGCTTCAGCCTCCCGAGCAGCTGGGATTACAGTTGTGCACCACCATGCCCAGCTAGTTTTGTATTTTTAGTACAGACAGGGCTTCACCATGTTGAACAGGCTGGTTTTGAACTCCTAACCTCAAGTGATACGCCCGCCTTGGCCTCCCAAAGTGCAGGGATTACAGTCGTGAGCCACCACGCCTGGCATGTAATGGTGACTCTTCACTACATTTGGTATCCTATTTACTGATAATCTGATGGAAACTGTGGACCTTGAGCGGGTGTGGGAAGGGCTGGAATACATTTTTGCTCACACACAAAATGGTATATACTATTTCAGGAGGTGCACAGACCCTTTTTGATACCCCCATGTCTTCCTATATTTGAAGATTCTGATTCAAACCAACCTCCTTAAGAAACTGAGGCCCCAATTTCGGATGACTTTCCCCAGTGCCAGTCAACGGGCACACCGGCAGAGTCCGGATGAAGCCCAGTTCTTCCGATCTCCCCCAACACGCACACACACCGCACTGAGGTGGAGGAGGTGGGAGAATGGTTTTAATCAATACTTAACATGTCACTACCTCAGGGTTACTGGCTTATCTCCTGATAAGCCCTCAGGAGACTTACTTATAGCAAAACCTCTAGACCTTTACTGTGGAGAGGCCTTTGTGACGCTCAAGTCCAAGGACCTCATGACTGAACCTTTCCAATCAAAGGAAATCAAGGAACTCAAGGCCTCCACGGCCGGCCTAGGGAGTCACGTAAGTCACCCCGGAGGTGTGAATAGAAATGTCTTGGCTCAGCCCTGGGTCCCAAGCATACAGCAGTTGGCAAGGAAGAGTGTTCAGTGCAATAACAGGCAATGCTACTCACATGCCCTCCACTCTGAGGAAATAACCTCTATTTAGAGACTAAACAAAGTCAGGTGCCTCTTGCAAGTCTAAAAAAGAAAAGAAGCTACAAAGGTTGCGCACCAAAGAACCTAATCATCTCAGTTGATATTCATTTGTGAACTCCTCCTCTCACTAGACACTAAGAGATTATCTGCTTAATGTTCAATAGTTTTTTGTTTGTTTGTTTGAGAGACAGTCTCACTGTGTCACCCAGGTTGGAGTGCAGGGGCGCGATCTCAGCTCACTGCAAGCTCTGCCTCCCAGGTTCACACTATTCTCCTGCCTCAGCCTCCCGAGCAGCTGGGACTACAGACGTGCCCTACCAAGCCCGGCTAATTTTTGTATTTTTAATAGAGATGGGGTTTCCCCATGTTGGCCAGGCTGGTCTCAAACTCCTGGCCTCAAGTGATCCATCCACCTCGGCCTCCCAAAGTGCTGGGACTACAGACGTGCACCACCACGCCCGGCCTCAATAGAATTTTCAAGAAAGGAACACAGGGTTATGAGAGAAAGCACTTGAACAGGACCATGGAGCTTTTGTAGAAGACCTTTCACATTGCAAGCTAAAGTCAACTGTGGCCCCTCTCATAATGACTTTCAGTTGTCTTCAAATAGTTTAACAAAGGTTTTTTGTTTGTTTTTAAGTACTATAAACAAGAGAGACAGAACCCTACAACTGATAACAAAGTCCCCAGGAACAGTGAGAGAGAGATCCAGGACCTCCAAGAGAACTGATGGGGTTAATGTGAGTCAAAAGCACCATGAGTCACATCAGGGGGACAGGCCCACTGGCAGCGAGATAACTTCAGAAACTGGAGTAGGTGTGAGCCTGGGAGCCAGCAGGCAGAAAACTCGGAAAGGCTGGCATGCTCAGGTGAAAGGGATTAGAGAGACCTGGATACGCTCGGAGTCTAAGGCCCTCAGGCCTTAACTGTGCCAGCTGGGAAGATTACATATACAAAAAGGCATCCTCCCTTACCCACGTGGTCCAGTCAAAGCACCCAGCCTCTTATAAGGGCTTTGCGGCTCATTAAAGGTAAAGTTCAAATAGGCACCAGGGCCCTAGACGCACAGTCCTTGGGTCCTGGGAGCCAAAAGTTACCCTGCAATCTCTGCCAATGTTACAACAAACTTAAGTCACAGCCTAAGTAGGTCAAGCATTTAATCCTAAAAATGTCCTCCAAAGGAGGATGGAGGGCTAGAGGTAACACAGAACTCAAAATACCATCTTTCTGACAAGGGGCTACCCCAACGCGGCTACCAACCACACCCCTGATGAGCAAGGAGAAAGGAATTTTAGGGAACACCCAACTTCCTCCCTTAAAAGTGTCGCTTTGCTTTTAATATCAAACTCAGTGCCAGAAGTCGCCAAAGTGGGAGCGAGGTTCTCCCAACCCAAGGTCGGCGGGCTCATGTCCAGCCGGAGTCACAGTGGGCGAGCGCCCCTTATCAGCGAGCCCAGATGCCCATACGTGGCCCACTTCTTCCGCCTGGGCCAGCCCGGAGCTCAGAGGGAAGGCGGGGGCGCCCCAGGCTACCGCCCTGCCAGCCCCTTCCACGCGCTGCCACCTACCGCAGTGCTGCCCGCCTCATTGCACTAGGCTGCCGTGAGCGCGATGGAGAACCGGGTCCCGCGCGCTAGTCGGCGGAGGGAAACTGAGGCGATCGAAGACGCATGAGCACCAGACCGCGCCCTAGCTGCGAGACAGCCCGGGGGCCGGACCGTGGTGTCCGGGGGTGGGGCTTCGCTGTGCCGGGGCGGGGCCGCGCTGTGCCGGGCGGACCCTACCAGTTCATTGACTGGAGGCTGGAGTCCGCCTCTGCGGAGCTTCCTACTCAATCAGCTGTGCAAGTCGTGTTGCTAGAGCGAGGACTGGCCTATTCTCGGTTAAGTAAACAAACCACGCAGCAACGCCAGAGCGTGATGTCGAGAAGAGGCGCGGCCCCGCCTGGTGGAACTTGTCTCCTTTATCCTTGATCCTCGCGTCTTGGCTTCGTCTGTTCTTACCCTGGGCTGCACATTGGAATCTCCTGGGCAGCTTTCCAAAATACTGATACTTGGCCGGGCGCGGTGGCTCACGCCTGTAATCCCAGCACTTTGGAAGGCCTAGGCGGGCAGATCACCTGAGGTCAGGAGGTCCAGACCAGTCTGGCCAACATGGCGAAACCCCGTCTCTACTAAAAATACAAAAATTAGCCGGGCATGGTGGCAGACGCCTGTAATCCCAGCTACTCGGTGGACAGACACTAGTATCGCTTGAACCCGGGAGGCGGAGGTTGCGGTGAGCGGAGATCGCACCACTACACTTCAGCTTGGGCGTCAGAAGGAGACTCTGTCTCAACAACAACAACAAAACCCTGATGCTTGAGACCCACTGGCTGGAGATTCTGGTTTAGTCCTGGGCGCGGTCTGGGCTTCGGGATGATGTCTAAGGGTGCCCCCAGGTGATGCTAATGTAACCAAAGGCTAAGAACCACTGACCTAAAGGGAAAAACATTGTTCGTCTTCTCTTCTCGGCCTGACCCCTAATGTTTGAAATCTTGGCCGAGCTAGAGAGATTCAAGGCCAGAGCGTTTAAGATTCTTTCACCCTACGACCTAATTCTCCATTTCTTTCAATGATTATTATTGACTTGCTTGCATTGTGCCAGGCACTATTGCAGAGATTGGGGTTGCAAAAAGAAAAAGAGGACAAAAATCCCCGCCCTTAAGGCGCTTGCCTGTTGATAAGGAAGGAAAACAAATCAACAAAGTTAGCAAATAACATGATTTCTTTCTTTTTTTTTTTCTTTTTTCTTTTTTTTTTTTTTGAGACGGAGTTTCGCTCTTTTTGCCCAGGCTGGAGTGCAATGGCGCGATCTCAGCTCACCGCAACCTCCGCCTCCCGGGTTCACGCCATTCTGCCTCAGCCTCCCGAGTAGCTGGGATTACAGGCATACACCACTATGCCTGGCTAATTTTTGTATTTTTAGTAGAGACAGGGTTTCGCCATGTTGGCCAGGCTGGTCTTGAACTCCCGACCTCAGGTGATCCACCCACCTCGGCCTCCCAAAGTGCTGGGATTACAGGCGTGAGCCACCGCGCCCGGCCAACATGATTTCAAATATGGTAAAGCAGTTTAAAGGAGAAATAAGGTAATGAGTGGGGATCTTTTGAGAATATAAGCAAGTCGTGCTTTGCCTCTAAAGATGGCAGTTTCCTAAAAGGCAAGGGCCATATGCTTTTTCACAATACCCCATGCTAAGTAAAAATGTATTGATTTGAATTAAGCTAGATTTCTGTTTTGAATCACTTCATGAGTTACACATGGAGCATGGTCTTCGGCTTTCTCTTTCTACCAAATTTTCCCTGCTTTTATCAATCTCACATCTGGAAGACACCCCTTTTAGCCTACAAGGATCTCTCCTTCATTTTTGTTCACATTGTCTGTACCTTTTCAGTGATTGTCTTGTTGGTTTTGTGTCAGCCATATTTCTTTATACTCTACCACACCTAACACAGAGGGCAATAAATATTGTATTGAATTATACTATTTTTGTTCTTCTTTTTACTTGAACTTTTCTTTGAAGCAATAGGAGGCTCAGGGAGAAAAAATAAGTATAAGAGAGAATTTTTTGTAAATGGTATAATAGGTAGGTACAGTTTATAGTTTTTCCTGCAATCAAGTCACCTTCCATCAATTTCCAAATTATAAAGGCACATTCTCATCAATATAATAAACACCATCGATGTTGGCTGGAACAGCCGAAACCAAGGACTTAATACCATGCAGATGCCTTCTCTCTATTGCTTATCTTTGCTTTCCTTTGCATACTGGCTTCATTCATTTTTCACTCTATGTAATGGCATTCTCCGTATGGCAATAGAAGCTCCTGAACTTTACATCTTACAACAACAGCCACACACACACAGACTGACCCAAATTTCTACGGCCCAAGTACAAAAAAATTCTGAGAAGAGATTCATTGGTTCAATTTGGATCAAGTACATACTCCTGGACTAGCCAACTGTGGCATCGGGGTAAGGAACCCTTGCCCTGACTTACCAGGAACCGCCTCACCCAGACTCATGGCCAGGTACTGGGTCACAATCTACTAACACGGCTATTTCCATAAGTAACCGTACAGATGGGGATACAGAGCACCTTCTTAGAAAAGGAGTACGGAGGCCAGGTGCGGTGGCTCACGTCTGTAATCCCAGAACTTTGCGAGGTTGAGGCAACTGGATCACCTGACGTCAGGAGTTCAATACCGGGCTGGCCAACATGGTGAGACCCCTGTCTCTACTAAAAATACAAAAATTATCTGACTGTGGTGGTGGGCACCTGTAATCCCAGCTACTCGGGAGGCTGAGGCAGGAGAATCACTTGAACCTGGGAGGCGGAGGTTGCACTGAGCTGAGATCACGCCACTGCACTCCAGCCTGGGCAACAGAGACTCCATCTCAAAAAAGAAAAAAAAAAAAGAAAGAAAGAAAAGAAGAGGAGTACGGAGCAGCCAACCACATAGATGTCCACTACAGAGGTTAAAGAGGGAAAAAAATGATCACATCACTTAGCCCACCTACCTTAGTTCTAACTTCAGGGAACCCCTGCTAGACCCAGCCTGCCTAGCATTCATCCACGAGTCTCTAACTATCTCAATTGGCAGCATGCATAAAATTCTTAAAACAGCTTAGCAACTCTGATTTCTGTGTGTGTTGTTGTTGTCGTCGTTATTGTCAAGCATATATGCTATAACACATTTTGGATAGCAGGGAAGGAAGGGGAAATGGTCACAAAATCAGAACAGGAAACATACGATTGTATAGTGGTGAGAATCACTGTCCTTAAGTAACAGGTTCTCTACCCAACGTTTTTGTTTCCTGTTATGTTCTATTAGTTCTATTTTAATATGGTCTCAGGGTAACAGAGATGGTATCAATTGTGTAATTAAAAGTTACCTAATCATGCACTGACACATAAGATATTATTAACGTCATTATTACAAGTAAAACAATAAAATCAAATAACAAGGCTGGAAAGCAGTATCCCAGCACTTTGGGAGGCTGAGGTGGGAGGAGATCGCTTAAGAACAGGAGCTCAAGACCAGCCTGGTCAACATAGCAAGACCCCATGTCTTAAAAAAAAAAAAAAGTTGTTTAAATCAAACAACAAAACCTAACAAGGCATTGTCAGTTCTTTTTTTTTTTTTTTTTTTTTTTTTTGAGACAGAGTCTCGCTGCGTTGCCAGGCTGGAGTGCAGTGGCACAGTCTCTGCAACCTCCACCTCCTGGGTTCAAGCGATTCTCCTGCCTCAGCCTCCTGAGTAGCTGGGATTACAGGCATACGCCACCACACCCAGCTAATTTTTGTGTTTTTAGTAGAGATGGGGTTTCACCATGTTAGCCAGGATGGTCTTGAATTCCTGACCTCATGATTCACCCGCCTCAGCCTCCCAAAGTTCTGGGATTACAGGCGTGAGCCACCACACCTGGCCAATGGCATTGTCAGTTCAAGCTAGTATTATGAGTGAAAAATATCCAGTTACCATCTTTCCTTGGGCTGCTGAACAATATATACTTTTGGATATCTGATTTAGGTAGAAAATGTTCCTGGAAAACTGTCATCAACTTTCAAACAAAGTGATTCAAACTACGATTTCAATAGGACAGAGAAACTTTTTAAAAACATATCTATTTCCTGAATTATTCAGATTATACAAAAGGATCCACAATAAGGTTAGGAGGGGAGGGCCAGGTACGGTGGCTCATGCCTGTAATCCCAGCACTTTGAAGCTTGAGGCAGGCAGATCATCTGAGGTCAGAAGTTCGAGACCCGCCTGGCCAACATGGCAAAACCCCATCTCTACTAAAAGTACAAAAAATGAGCAGGGCATGCTGTCATATGCCTGTACTCCCTGCTACTTGGGAGGCTGAGGCAGGAGAATTGCTTGAATCCGGGAGGCAGAGGTTGCAGTGAGCCAAAATCATGCCACTGCACTCAGAGCCGGAGCAACAGAGGGAGACTCCATCTCAAAATATAAATAATAATAGTAATAATAAAGTTAGGAGGGGAGAAGGAAACAATGTAAAAGTATTTTCCAGCTGGACACCGTGGCTCACCGCTGTAATCCCAGCACTTTGTGAGGCCGAGGCGGATGGATCACAAGGTCAGGAGTTCGAGACCAGCCTGGCCAATGTGATGAAACCCTGTCTCTACAAAAAATTCAAAATTAGCTGGGCATGGTGGCACACACATGTAGTACCAGCTGCTCAGGAGGCTGAGGCAGGAGAATCGCTCGAACCCAGGAAGCGGAGATTGCAGTGAGCCAAGATCATGCCACTGCACTCCAGCCTGGGTGACAGGGCGAGACTCCGTCCCCCAAAAAAAGTATTTTCCACCCTAATGTTAAAGAAAAAAACAGAAAGACTAGTGGGCTGTTACATGAATGTGCTTAGTTTTTTTGTTCATTTGTTTGTTTGTTTGTTTGTTTGTTTTTTGAGACAGAGTCTCGCTCTTTTCGCCCAGGCTGGAGTGCAGTGGTCCAGTCTCGGCTCACTGCAACCTCCGCCTCCTGGGTTCAAGCGATTCTCCTGCCTCAGCCTCCTGAGTAGCTGGGACTACAAGTGCCTGCCACCATGCCCGGCTAATTTTTGTAATTTTGTGGCCCTCAGATCCACTTTTATGACTGCTTTTCAAATCCAAGTGTTGAAAGGTTCTCGTCCAGGAGGCTGAGGCAGGAGAATCACTTGAACCCAAGGAGGCAGAGGTTGCAGTAAGCCGAGATCGTGCCATTGCACTTCAGCCTGGGCAACAGAGCAAGACTCCATCTCAAAAAAAAAAAAAGAGAGAGAGAAAGTTTC